AGACCGGAGCAGCATGAAGGCGCAGTGGGACCCCCCCCCCCACGCGTGTCAGCAGCACCCTCACCTCCATCCCTACAGGGCAGCCAGCATCAGTAAGAAGCCCCTGAGAGTCCAGCGGGACTTCCGGGGTCCCTTCGTCAGGCATCGGACGGAAGGGAGCCCAGGTTCCCGAAAGCTTTTCGACCCTGAAAATCCGGAGTGGTCCTTGAAGTTCTCCTACTGCAGGCCCTCCTACGGCTGCCCTCTGGAAGTGTCCCAGTAGAAGCGGATCAGGACCGCGGGCAATAGATGAGCACAACTACGAGAAGGCCTTCTTCGGCCAGTGGTGGAACGGCAGGGCCCCCCACCCCCGCTTCCTCTGTGCGGCAGCCCCGCCAGGTGGGTCGGTGAGGGGGGGAGGGTGCCTGCCTCAGAGCCAGGCCCCCCCTGGGCTCCGCCACCCTAGGTGGGTTTGCGCTCCGCCCTTGCCAGCCGGCCATCGCCTGCCCCTCACGCCCCGCACGAGCAGGCAGCCTCTCTTTCCCCTGGTCTCGGCAGACAACCCGGAGGGCCTGAGCTTCCCTCCCTCCCTCCCTGCGACGAAGCCCCTCGCTCGGTCAAGGAGGGTCTTTCTGCGGGTGGGGATCTGGCAAAGGTGCAGATCTGGAGCAGCAGGGCCCGCCCCCCCCCCGCTTCCTCCTCTTGCCTACCCACCCATCCCCCAGCAGGTGTACCTGCTGAGAATGTCACCAGACGGGTACAGGTGGCGCCTGTCGTCCAGAACGTGGAGGGTTTTCAGCCTCGGCCCCCCTGCCCCCGGTGAGCCCCGGAGGCTCCTGGAGTCCTTCCATGGCCGGTTCCGCCCCCCACCTCCAGGTCCACGTTCGCCTTACCACATTCTCCAGGGAGGGGGAGCAGATCTGTGGGTCCCTCCCCCAGCTTTCCAGGCAGCCCTTGGTGCTGTGTGAGGAGCTGGGAGAGCCCCCTCCCTCCCCCGCTCCCCCGTGCACGGGGAGGGTCGAGCCACCGCTGCTGTCCTGGCTGCTTGACGGGCAGCGGGTGGGGCTGGGGCCACGCAGCCCCCTGGTTTGGAGGGCTGGAGGCACCCTGGCGGCCCGCTTCCTTTGGGGCGTTCTCACGGGGGTGCCGTGCCACAGACCAGGGTCTTGGCCCCCCCCCCTCCTCCCACCCCTTTGCTGGCTGCCTTGCGGTCACGGGATGCCCTTTAACCGTGTGGACTTCAGCTGACTGAGCTTGTGTGGCATAGACCTCACTTCCCGAGGGAAGGGGCTGCTTTGAACTGACGAAGCCCAGCAGCCTGGCAGCGCGGACTCCTTTGCAGAGGGTGCTGAGGGTGCCGTGTTGAAGCGGGTGTGTGTGTGTGTGTGTCGTCTTAGCCGCTGGCTGCATCGGGGTCTCTTGCTTGGGACATGGAAAGGCGATGCCGGTTTTGGAAGGCTCCCCTGAACGTGCTGCGCAGAGAGTCCCGTGTGTGGGTTGTGCGAGGGCTCCGCGCTGGAGAAGCACGTCAGGCACCTCAGCGAGGCCACCCGGAAGGCCACGGCAGATGTGGCTTAACGTGCGCCACGGGGGGGGGGGTCATGTGGCAGGACTGGGGTCCCGGAGGAGGGTGCCGGGGGTGTTAGTGGTGGGCATTCTGGTGCTGCCTTTGGACATCCAGCCCTCAGAGCCCTTTCCCCAAAGCACACGACACCGATGCTGGAGAAACAGGAAGGACCCGCTGAGAGAGCGATCCGTAACCGCGTCCCCAGCAGGGGTGTCCAGGGAAGGCACTGTCTCGAGGGCGGCGATGGTTGGGGGGCGGCGGGGGGCGGCAGTCGCCTTTTGCGCTCCGGATGGCAGAGGCAGGCAAAGGCGGGGGCTGGCTCTGGCCCATGTGATGCATCCCTCAGGAGCGAGGCAGGGGAGCGGATTCCGCCACACGCAGCCGTTGCTCAAAGTGCTCATGCCCTTCCGTGGGACAGCTTCATAGCGAAAAGACGCAGCAGCCGAGGGGCGCACAGGCCCGCGCCTGCAGAGAGCCCCTCTCGGGCACGAGGGCCAAGAGGGCTTCAGGGAAAAGCAGGGCCTTTGCATTCCGTCCATTTGGGACACTGGGCCTGCATCTTTTCCCAGGGTGGACAGGCAGGTGCTCTGCTGGGAAGGAAGGGGCAGGCCCCCTGGGGAATGCCCTCCCCTTCCTCCCTCCCTGGACCACCCCTGCAGGGCTGGCTTTCCAGAAGCCCCACCGGAACGGCGGCTTCTTCTCCTCTGCCCCACAGAGCGGTCTGAACGGGGGGGGGGGGGGGGGGAGGGAGAGTGTGGCTCTTCTTACTCCCAGCCTCTGTGTGGCATTTTGGCTTTGTAAGGCATTTTCACTGCTTGTGCTTTGGGTGCGGGCTCAGCAGCCCAGCCTGATGCCCCGTGTGTCAAGGTGGGGGCCGGGGGGGCGGGGGCGTGAGGCCGAGAGCCGGTCGCCAGGGAGCTCCTCAGGGTATCCTTGGGGGGGGCACCCCCTTTGAGGCTGTGCTCCCCCCATCGCGTGGCTTCCGAACGGTGAGAAGAGTGGTGGTCTCTCCTTCCCTTTTGCAGGCGCTGGTTCTCCATACAGAACAACCAGCTGGTGTACCAGAAGAAGTTCAAGGTGAGGGGTGCGACGGGGTGGGGTGGGGGGTAGAGGGGGGGCACTTCCAGACCGCCCCCAGCAGTCAGTACAAACCTGCTTGGGAGGAGCGTGTTGGGGGCCGTTGACACCTCTCTTGTTGTGTGGAGGCTCCTGGCTGTGTTGGCTGTGTGGCTCGCAGCGGGGCTCATCCTGCTTTCCGCCCCCACCCCCCACCCCCAGCACAGGCCCAGGCAGGGGTACGTCTGAAGGAGTGGCGAAGAGCGTGTCTGTGACTTCTCAGGGCCCCCCCCCCGGGCCACGTGCGGGCTGCAGAGCTTGGGCTGCCCTGGTGGTCACACCCCCTCCGAGGGCGGGGCCTTCACGCTTCTCCCTGTTGGGCTGAGAAGCCCCGTCCCTCCCTTTGGCCGCTCGTGGTCTTTGCAGAGCCCGGGGGGGGGGGGGTTTCAGAAACCTCCAAAAGCAGGGATCTCAGTCAGTGGCTTCTCCTCCTCCCCCCCCCCTCTGAAGCACGGCTTCCAACCACGCGCGGGGGCTCCTCTGGGGGATCCAGGCCTTCCCTCTGTCGCCGCAGCTAGTTCGTTCTTCGCCTTGTCAGAAGAACGGAGAGAGGACACAGTGCAAGCAGAAGAGAGCCACGGAGCCCCCAGGAGCACCTTCAGGACTGACAAAACTCGCGGCAGGGGAGGCGCTCTCGTGGGTCACGGGTGGCCCACTTCTTCTGAGGGGAGTGTCTGGAGAAGTGGGCCATGTGACTCACGGAAGCGCCTCCCCTGCCACGAGTTTTGTCAGTCCCGAAGGGGCTCCTGGACTCTTCCTCCTTTCTGCTGCTGCAGACGGACTCACACGGCTGCCCGTCTTGTTCTGTATCTACAGTGTAAACAGTTATATATAGGGCTATTTTTGGGCAGGAACGCACAGGAACGGAGTTCCGGCTGGCTCCCGAGTTGGCCACGCCCACCAGGAACTCATTAGCATAATAGGCCACACCCAACAGCAGAAACTCATTAGGATTGGCTACATTAGGGGTGTGTGGCCTAACATGCAAAGGAGTTCCCGCTACAAAAAAACGCCCTGGGTTTTGACAACAAACAAGCTAAACAGAATAACAAGCAAAAGGTGGGTGTGGTTGGATGACCACACTTCTGGCAACATGCGGGGTGTGGCCTAATATGCTAATGAGCTGTCCTGTCAGGGGTGTGGCCTAATATGTGAATGAGTTTTTGTTGGGTGTGGCCTATTATGCTAATGAGTTCCTGCTGGGCTTTTTCTACAGAAAGAGCCCTGGTTATATATCTCTCCCCCCCCCCCCAGTACGCAGCACTGCCTGGTGGTGCTTGAGGCTGGGCTCGACTGTTGCTGCTGAGGGGCTGAGCTTCCTTCCTCCGGCAGGCGCTGCCGCCGCAACGTCTGCTTGTCCGAATGGGACCATAAGAACATAAGATAAGAGAGAAGCCAACATCGGATCAGGCCAGTGGCCCATCCAGTCCAACACTCTTCTGTGTCACACAGTGGCCAGAAACACCAGGGGCCCTCAGGAGGTCCAGCAAGCAGTGGGGCCAGGACACTAGGAGCCCTCCCACTGTTGCCCCTTCCCCAAGCACCAATGAATACAGAGCATCCCTGGCCCCAGACCGAGAGTTTCTGTCTATCCCTTGTGGCTAATAGGGGCCACTGATGGACCTCTGCTCCAGATGTTTATCTAATTCCCTCTTGAAGCCATCCTATGTGCTTGTAGCCGCCACCACCTCCTGTGGTGAGCACGACCCGCATGGCGGTGGCTCCCTGTGAGGGATCAGTCTGTCCCCGTACATCAGCTGGCTCCTGGCTGTGTCCTCCTGTCCCTCGCTCCTCCAAGCTGTGCGAACAAACAGCTCTGCTCATCCAAGAGCTGTCACAGCGTCTTCAGCTTCCCTGCGTGTTGTCGAGCTCTTGCCCAAAGGCTGCCTGGGTGCAGCAGTACGTGTCCACCTGTCATTGAGTGGTCTGGATGTCTGGGCTGGGGGTGGTGGTGGAAGCCTCATTTTGGTTCAAGCAGGCTGCCCTCAGCACCTGCTCCCCCAGAAGCACCTTCGCCCCCCACCTCCAGGTTGGTTCCCTGGCTAGTCGACACCCATCAGTGTGATGGTGCAGAGAGACCACAGAAAATAAAAATCGGGGTCATCTGTGCATTCACATGACGCATTCTAATTCGCTGCACTGTACTCTTTAACGTTTTTGGAAGCAACCGAGCACGTGCAGGTTGCAGCCCTGCAACTTCCGAGAAGAGGAGGTCTCTGTGCCTAAATTCCAGCTCTCAGTGGGGCTCTGAGCAGCTGCAGCTCCCATTGGTGTGAATGCACAGGTGTGGCCACTGGAATTACGACAGCTCGTCAAGAATGGGCGGGAGGTACCTATGCTGCGCGGTCTGTAGACAGTGACAACGACCCCCGCATAGGCAGTAGCAGAAAAGTAGCATCTTCTCTCCCCCCCCCCAGCGCTCCCCTGCTAGGGACTGGGCCTGCATTGTGCACGTGGCACCAGCCAAAGCCAGAGGGTCTTGCACTTCAGTCCACCTCTGCCTCCTGGGAAGGGTCACTGCCCCCTATATTGGAAAGCCTGAACACCAGGCTCTGACGTCACCGCATCTAGTCATAACAATCCCTGAACTCTGCAGTTGCCAGCTACTTTCACAAGTGTTTTAAATTGCAGTTTCTCGTGTACCCAACAAGATATTCTCTTGATTCTTTCACTGCAGTATTCCAGACACTTCACACTAGCTTACAGTGTTACTGAGTTCAGTTTCCCTTGCATATTTGAGTGCATGTTTCGTATAATTTACAAGCATATAATAGGGGGAAGTGGTGGATGTCTGTTGTATGATGGTATTGTCAAATAACTTCTGGTTTTCAGTATTACTTTTTATTTACCATTGACACAGCATGAGATAGAAATATGCACAAACTCATACTTATTTAAGAAGTTTTCACATACAGTAAACTTCAATCTTAATCTCCAGTGACCAAAAAAAAAAAGCT